TTCCATCTCAGAATGACATCTCACATGTGCTTCAATCTTCTTTAAGTAGTTTTAGGTGTAAGACATAATTTTATTTGACTATCAATTACTACTCATTATTAATATTGAGTAGTAATTGTTAGTCAAATAATATTATGAGATGGTGAAACTGAAAATTCATTGTATTTCAGTTTAATCTTTTATTCCAACGCAGTAAAATAGATGTTGGGTGTAACAAAAGGAGCAAAAAAGAAAAAAAAAGCTTAATGTGACAGCTGGAATAATTTTATACCGGTACATTAAAATAACAAATAGTTTGCTTTAGCATTCCTCAGGCAACAAAAGATTCAATTGAAATTTTTGAGTTGAAAAACAAAAAATGAGAAATACGGTACCGGTACAGCTTCCACAAGTTAGTACCCAGGAGAAGCATTTAATAAAATTAACTTGAAATGAACCATTGTGATTTTTTTCATAGAACTGTATGTACAATTTTTAAATTAGTCTGATTGCACATACAGTTTTTCATCAGTCTAATTTGTTATGCAGCCAATGTGTTTATGTCATCTTTCCCCGTGAATGAACTCTAGCTGACCCAAAGCTCGGAACTGCATTAAGGGTGTGGCTAACTAAAAATAGTCTCTCTTGACCTTGTTTACGACTAAATAAACTCTATAGTCTGTATAGTATAATTAGAATTATGTAGAAATATCCAGAAAGGAATATAATGTTTAAGCCCGTTTGAAAAATTTCTCTGTAACAGGTTATATATATACGCCTAGAAAGATTGAGCAACACGAGATATTTTGAGCGATTGCTATTACGATAGAGCTTTGCTATAGGAGATAAAGATTCTTTACTAACATACATTTGCAGTGTGTGTGTAGATTTCCTTTTCATCATTGTACCTTTTACAACATTGTATCTTCTTTAACATTGTACCGGTACAAGCCAATCATTATTCTGTAAGACAATAGCTTTAATTTCATTTCTTTTTGATTTTGCAATTGATTATTAACTTAATAAAATGTATTAATTGTAATTGGCCCTGGTTTGGGTATCATATTCTGTGTTACCGGTATTGTATTTAACATATGGTATCATCTTTTGTTGTGTACCGGTATTGTTTTAGAACGAGCCAAATTGGCCATATACTAAATAAGAGATTAATTTCTCCATACTGATAACAATAACAGCACATAACAAATTGTATGAACAGTTTTTATATTTGTCTAACTGTATGTACAGTTTTTATATTAGTCTAATTGTACATATTGTTTTGTTAGTCTTATTCTACATACCGGTACAGATTTTTGTTAGTCTAAGTTCAATAAATAAATAGATATAACTCTACAAATTTTTAAAAACTAGTCATTATAGAAAACATGGGCCTTCATACAATTTGTTTTTCTTCAATTATTCCTTAAAGAATTTGAAATAAATCAATGCGTTAGCGATTACTTGCGTTCATCTGGTTGTTTAAGTGTTAAAAAAAAAAAAGAGAAACACCCATCCCACAAATTCCTAAAATTAAAATGTAGGGATGGCTCAATGTATTACTATTATTATTTAACCACTAATGTGGGCATAAATTATGATAAATACAATAGGTAACATTTTTTTTTTAGCTCTAGTACAATTTGTTAAATGTTTGTATTAGAAGATAGTATTTGAATGATGAAATCCTTAAAAATAATGGGTAAATTCTGATCTATATCGAACAGGTTGGAGTCCTGGAACCTGTGCTATAGCTATAGGCTATGTTTTTGTAAACCAAGGGAGGGGAGATATTTTAACTATTACTATTACCCCAAATGATGTTTCATTTTTGAAACAAGGTCTATATCAATTATAATCAATATCACTACCGGTACACAAGTACAAGTGTAACTTCAAAATTGGTACTTTTTTTAAAATGTCAGATCAGAGCAATTTAGTTACCAAATAATTCATACTGAATACTGTTTTCTGGTTTCAATTAATTTCTGCTATGCTTATGTGTTTTTATGTTGATTTAATTGTAAAATTCTAGTTCGCAAAGCTTATCATAATCATATGAAATGTTGAAGAAATCCGTAGGTGGACAAACTTAATGTCAACCAACACAAGTGGACCTTTTTAGTGTGGTGAATTTGGAGCAATATAATTTTGTTTAAGTAAGGGAGGGGTCTCAAACTCAAATTATCCAGGGGCCACAGGAGGTAACGGCTGAGTGAGACTGGGCCACATCAAGTAAAAAAAAAATCGATAACAAATTCAATAAAGTACAACTGGATAATCTGCTCAACATTTATTAATCAATAACAAAATAAAACATTAAGGGTTCTCAAGAACTTATAGGCTTCACTTTCTTCCTCTTACTCCCTGTTGCCAGAGACCTGGCAGCGCTTCTTCTTACAAAGCTGAGCATCATTTGGCTTGAGTGAGGAAGCCACTGAGACCCTCAGTATAGCTTGCAGATGCTCATCAATAAGTTTCACCCTGAACTTTAACTTGTTCAATTTCATAGTTGGAAAAGAGCTTTTCACACAGATGGGTACTCCCAAAAAAGCACATGATCCGCTTGAGCAACATGGAAATCTCAGTGAAGGTGGAGGGCAACGCTCTCATAAATTGTCCATGCTTATCTGTTTCTCCATACACTCCCTTAACTTAGAATTACAAAATTACACTGAATATCAATCAGCTCCATTTGAAGCGCAAGTGGGGAGTGGGGTGGGGGGGTGGGGGAGAATTAAAGGAGAAAGGGATAGCAAATATTTGAAAAGTGGCTCTGTGTGTTTTGAAGTCTAAAAACATGCGATCAGATTCTTCCTGTAGCTTTGCAATGGCATCAGTATACCACTCATTACTGAATGGTGCCCCTGAATCCATGAGTACTTTTTATTTTGGGAAATGGCAGAGGTTTCTCTAAGAACCATAACTAAAGTCTGTGCAGAATGCCCTGACATTGTCATAGGCAACACTGACAAACTACACCTGATCTTATAACTTCTTTTTGAGTACATACAGCTCCTGTGAAATGTCAACAAGAAAAGCCAAGTCCATACGCAATTTGGTATCACGTAGTCCGGGAACAACCACCCCATCCTTCTCCACGAAGGCTATGAAGGCTAAAACGTTTTCAAACAGTAGGCAGGAGCAGGCAATATTTATGAAATATTGATGCGAAGGAAGATGCTATTGTAAGGAGAATTAATTTTAATTTTTTTTATCGCAGAGAAGGCCTTTTCCCTATTTGAAATGGAACCAAGCTGACATGTTGAAATTTCCCTTACTCGTTAACAGTAGGGGACTTGTAATAGGGATTCTTTGATACTGTGTCAGATTGCTAAGATCTACACAATTATGGTTGTGCATTACCCAATAACTGACTTTTTAAATTTTTCTGAAAAACTATACAAACATAATAGAAATCAGAATTAGACAGTCTGTGAGATTTGACCAAAACTGTCGTGGAGGGTCAAATTACAGATATGAGAATGGGGAAAACTCATGGGCCGCATTACACTAAACTTTGCTGTCATGTATTGGGCCGCAAAATATCATCTTGCGGGCCGCAAATGGCCCGCAGGCCGCGAGTTTGAGATCCCTGAAGTAAGGTAAATGTTGGATGTATCATTTAAAATTATTCTTTATTAAAATTTCATTGTATTTATTTTAATAATATAATAAGCATCTAGTCTGACAAATGATATGGAATATGTGTGCATATGTATAAAATTTTAATGTTGATTAAAGCCTAGCATAGTAACTGCTTCTTTATAAAGAAAATTCATCCCTATGTAAATTTCGAGAGATCGCGCCCGCCTCCCCCCCCCACCCCCAGGAAAGGGGGGGGGGGGTTTCCTCCATCTTAGTTGACACAACCAGTTAATTATGTCAATTTCTGTCACTTAAGTACCGGTATTTAAATTTTAAACTTAACTAAATCTAAATGTGATAAGTATCCCTCTGCCTAACCTGATGAACCCTAAATCGATCCCTATGCCTAACCTTAACCCTAAATCGATCCCTCAACCTACGCCTAACCTAAACCCTAATTCACTGAAACTATAATAAACACGCAAATGACATTCATTATCATCACTACTAGACTTCAGCTACGCCGCTTACTGGAATGGCTTACGGTAGTTAAGGCAGATGAATTTAAAAATGTGGAAAACTATTCTGAATGACATGTATTCTGGGGTATCTAAAAGATTGATACTGGGATTTTCAAAATTATTTTCAATGTTTGGATCGCCTTTTGTCTATTACCTTCTCGCCTTCTGCTTTCACAACACTATTGACTATTGTGACTACATGGGCAAATGGGCATAGAGCCGAAAGGGGAATGGGGCCTCCTAAAGTTGTAACGCGACAGGATTCATCATAACAAATACCGAATTGTTGATGCGGAATTACAGGCGGAAAATGAGATTATGGGTGCTTTGAGAACAAGAATTGAACCAACAACAATTGTCAACATTTTTGCAGCTTGTTAAATAAAGTTAATGAAAAAAAAAAGACACATCGACATCACATTTTGCATTGCATTAGACTCATTAGACGGGAGTTTGTTTAAAATTTGATTAAACTTAAGAGCTTAGTTCTTTATTTAATTGATAGTAGTGTTTCATGATTTATTGTATTTACTAACGTTCCCAAATAACGTGACGTACGTTGGCTACTTTATGGACGGCCTCCAGACCAAGCGTTAATAATTAGTTAAATCGTTTAAGTAGAAAAGTGTTTTGTTTTTTTGCGGTACAATAGCCTTTGAGTTTGTGTATTGCCAGTTAATTTGATTTTATTATATATTAATTAAGTAGTGCGGTCCCAAAAAATTTTTTGCTTGAAGACAACTAAGGCATTTTTAATAATTTCATGAAATTTAAAAATATAATAATACGCTTTTTCGGTGATTGAATAAATAATAATAATAAAACAAAATTAACTCATTCAAATTTAGCCTTATTTTTCGTTAAAAAAAAAACTGGGCTTACTTGATTTTCATTGGTCATCATTCTGAAACGAAATTTAAAGGAAGCCAAAAACACAAGTGTAAACAAAGCGAGCTGATTGTAGCCATAGATCATTTTAACTTCAAAAACGTTCTTGTTCTGTTTATTGAAGAATCTTCACTGTATTGACCGAGGTAAAAGCTGTTCGATAAAAAGTAAAACAAGAAATTTTTTTATAGTTGAAGTACTGGTAACAAAAGGCAAAGATTGTACCCATTTACTTTTGAGTGATCTGATACTACTTGTTTGATCATTGATAGTTATAGTAGCTTCAACGCTTAGTAGTAGCGATCGGCGATAGTGACGGATAGGCTATAATAGATAGTGACATAGCCTGATAGGTACTTTGGTTAAAAAAATTGTAAAATAAATCAAATGGCTTAGTTGAATATAGCTAATCTTTTTACAGAATTACAACACCAAAATAATATCTTTACTATTGTAGTTGTAGTTTTATTTTTATTAAAAAACTTTCAAAGATGAATTTTTGAATTTGGACTTCCTTTGCCCTTTTTTAACATGGACCACACCTCCACATTCTGTGACCCAATTCCGCTGTTTACTTTACGAGCTATATAACTCTCGTTCTAATGATAATTTTATACTTATACGTCTTTTATTTTCAGAACTAATGCTTTATTAAAAATTACAATGACAATGGCACTAAAAGAAGAGGTTACCAGTCTTAAGTTTACATTCATAAAAGAATGTCATCAGCGGCCCGAGCCGAGGCTCTTTTGGCACCTCCCCCCCCCCCCCCCCCTAGGAATCCCTATTCCCAAACCCCAGAGACATTTCGTCCCGAAGATGAACCATCTGGTTACCCCAGGCAGTCAAAGGGGTAGCTTTCTTTTAATTTGATCTTACTTAGTAAGGGATATATTCTTACTCAGGATTACTGTAATCGCCTCCGCCACCCTTGTGGTATAACGCAAGCAATCATCTGTTTTCTGGTCAACCCACCCATATCGGGGTCCACTGGTACTTTCTTGCTAAGGAAAGTAAAGTTTTACGCAAAGCTGTCAACCACAATAGAACCTAGTAGTGTTTAATTCTAAAATGGTACTGGGCAATCTTGGCCTATACATTAAACACGTCACAAAAATTAGCTAGTAATGGGAACGAAACAGCTGTCTAAGAGACCCGTCTTTAAAGAGGGTTGCACATTTTGTCATGGATGACACCTTTGTATCTACGATCCATTAGCAGTACGGTAGCTGTAATCATGTCCCTAAACCCTAGTTCCTAACATGTGCCTTAAACCCTAGCCTCTATCATATGATGTAAACCCTAATGCTAATCCCACACCTCATGCCACATTATCCTGCAGAGTTGTGGGTATCCCTGAATTTTTCCGAGGTCGACTTGACGAATTTATTTATATTGAAATCCTTATTTTAAAAGTGTGATGGTTAGGCCTAAGAGGTAAGGCTACCATAATATAATAAATCTTGTTTATGAAATTGATGTAGTTAAATAAACACAATTTGAAAATCTGTTATACCTAAAGTGTCAGCCCTAGGCTCTTTATACTGACTTTTAATTAACAGCCTTTGTTTTTTTTTGTGAGCTTCCTTCCACAATCACTTTCAAGTTATCTTTTTCTAGACCTCTCTTTGTCTCTTCAGGGTCTATTTATTTTAAGTCAAATTAAGGCTTCAAGTATTTTTTTTTTACCGCTGCAAAATTGTCTTCCATTCTACATGATACAGTCAGTGGAGCCTGTTATGACTCACACTTTGATAAAACTCAGTTGTGGCATGCCTCCTAAAATTGTGTTTCATCATTCGCACATGATTAAAAACCCTGGTATAAAGTGACCCCTCATTAGCTTTTATATGACCTTTCTAATAGCTATAATTTGACCCCTTTTATATATACTGTGACCCCTCACTAGCTATAATGTGACCCCTCTATAAATATGATCCAATTGTATGGACTGCAATTATCATGCCAAATTAGGGTTCCATTGTATGAATAAGATGTGGATGTTGTGTTTAACTTTGCCTTTAAAAATATATATATTTAAAAAAAATAGAATTTGAATTGAGTGAATGCATTGCATCCTGGGACGTTCTGAACTTTTTTTATCCATAAAACTCATAACTGTACAATGGCTGTCTGCCTCTAAGGAAATAGCTTGCATGCGAAACCCATGAAAAGACTATAACTTGACAGATTGAAAATACATTTTTTTAATTACCCCTAGTAATATTAACATTATTAAAAAAACAGTTTTACTACAATCATTATACCTTAAACATACTTATAACTTATACCGGTACTCATTTTAAATATTAAATTCTGCCCTCAAGCATTCAATTTTCATGTCTATAATCTCTTATTTTCCAGTTATTGTTAAGTGAACCATGGGCGGATTTCTGGGTAAATATGAAGAGGCTGGCTATTTAGATGACAAATCTGAAGATATCACCCCCAAAAAAGTTTTGCGTAACAAGCGATTGCTGTCTCTTGACCCAAGGTCACCATCAGAAGGAATAGCTAGGACACCAATAATTGTAGAAAAAACACCAGTTCCTGGCGTTGTTCGGAATAAATTGTGTAGTTCTCTAGAAGAGACACCAAGAATTAATAGAAGTTCTGACAAAGTACAAGATCCTCGTTCTCCAACAATTGAATTTTCACGGACTCCTATCAACCCCTGCCACTCCTCAGGTAAATAATACCCCTTATTTTGTTTCAATTTGAAAATTCATTGAGTTCTTGGCAGCTATCGTCTTTATTATTATTATTATATTTGTAGCCCACTTGCAGAAGAATGCAGAAAGCACTGAACAAGTTTGCATCCATTTATGGGATCTGTGGTGAAAATATTTTTAAAACATCCACTTTTTTTATTTTTTATATTAAATTGCATTTTAACTACTGGTAACATGTTGTATTTTGTTGTACATGCTACTAAACTCTCTTCTGGTATTTGTGCTGTAAGTTGTTAGAAATAGCTTAGTGTATTTACTTAATAAACATCAAGTAATGTAAAAAAAGCAGAGTTCATTATTTATCTCAATAACATTGTTTTGGATTGACAGTTTGGATTTGGAGTTTACCAATAGGAATATTTTAGGCTCTTAATTGATCATTTCCAATATTTCAGTAATGTCCAGGCAAGTGGATCCTCTTGCAATGAAAGATTTGAGCTTGAAAGATTCTCCTGTGTCACTTTACATGTGTGATACTGAATCAGGGATTGGATCTACTGAGGTCACCCCCGTGTTAAAGTACAGGAAAACTCAAGGTCTGATAATTCATTAATGATCAGGATGTTCTTTAAACTTTTATAGCTCAGCTTTCTTTGTACAACAAATTTTAAAAGGACCTTGACCATACAGTTTGGCAAAACATGAAGAAAAAATGCCTATGTCATGTCATCTAAAAAAGCTGCACGCTATATTATTTCTAATAATAATATATATTTTTTTGTTTTGACATTCTTACATTCTCATTTGTGGGAGCTGTTTCTATATTGTAGAACTATCAAACATAACTTTCATGTTAATCATTCAAACATATTCTTAATAGTTTTTAAAGTATTGGGTACCGGTTAGCTTAAATGCTTTTATGAGCTAAGGATCAATATTTAAATATGCTTTAAAACTGAGCAAATAACCCTGTATAAATTGCAGTGTTTTTTTCATATTTTATAATAATTTTGTTCAAACCAAATGCAGAATATATGTATAGTGGACTTAATTCTATCTCTGTAGGGCATACAAGTCAACTGGTTGAGAGTCCAGATTCAGCTTTGGGAATTGACGCTTGGAAACAACCACGAATGGATTGTGGTGACCAGAGACCTCAGGTACATTGTTTTTTTTTGTTAGTCCTTCACATGTTAAGATGACCAAGGTTGTATGCAATGGTGTATACATACGAGGCTTGTGAGTCCTATTTGTGTGCTTCGAAAGCTTGCCCACATGTATCACACAAGTGTTTTGAGGTTCTGGTGATAGTGGAGATACTTCTGCTTTTCTTTGTTGTAATTTTGGTAGTTAAAACCTAACTTCTGACAATAATATTAATAGCGAACACTTAAGTTTTTTAACTACTTTCTATTTCTTGTTGACCCCGGACTTTATTTCATTTGTCGTGTCTGCTGAGGAAGGAAGGCTCTTAGCCAAAACATTCTTCTTTTATTGTCCTGTCTTTATATTTCAATCTTCCTCGTTCCTTTATTTCTTTGCTGCATGCTTTCTTTGCAGGTGAGTAGTTCATTTATCTCATAAGAGTCTGCATCAACACTGAGTCTGACTCACCAGGTTGTGCAATCCAAAGCAAGTGTTTCCAGAAAGTTCAGATCATTGTCCATGGATTTTAGATACACAATTTGGCAATCCTAGAAATTTTTTTTTTTTTTTGCCCACCACCTGAGACTTTTACTTAAGGATAGTTAGCAGTACATTAATTTTAGGCCATCTGCCCTCTGGCATTTTTACAACATGTCATGCCCATCTGGTTTGTCCATTTTGAATTAATGTGTGAATGCAGAGAGGGCTAACCTGTTGGAGGGTTTCTGTATCATATCAGGGACACTATCCTGTAGTATGTGATGTTATTACACCCACCCTCATATGCGCCCGGATTGATTGGATAAAAAAAATTTAGACAAAAATAGACAAAAAATGTATTAAAGTAAAGAGAAAATAAAGAGAAAGTAACTAAGCTGATGTCCTGTCCGTTCGTTCACCATACAAATAGGCTACAGTAAATTAAAATTACATTAAAACATTACTAAAAAAGTTTTTCGCCCCCCCCCCCCCCCAGAAAGTTAATCAATTTTTTTTGCCCCCCCCCCAAGAAAGTTTTCTGCGGGCGCCCAAGCCCACCCTGCATATGAATCTTTGCATTGGACTTGTTCATGTGGCTATATGATATAGAGAATCATGCTGTGTTAGAAAGTTTTCAACTTTTAGAAGTGTAAAATTTAACTACTTGACACAAGATTAGAATTTTGTAATGAAATACTAATAGCTGGTTTTAGTCATCAAAATGTTTAAAAATAAAAATTGATCTTTCATTGCATTTTTTCCTACCACTTTCAATTACATATCTTATTATTAGATAGTACCAGTAACTAAAGTTCTTTGTTTTACATGGTGTGCAGACTCAACATGATGCTTCGCTTGAAAATGAAGCTAATCCAGAATTAGTCCATGTCCAAAACAATGCATACTTCTCTCTAGAGGCTAGAGATTCTGTATTACAAGATGAGAATATTTTTATTCCTGCTAATACAGGTGAGTTGATCAATAATTTATCTAGAATCGGACTAACATGGAATTTTATTATTTACTATTACACACGACAAGGTAATCCAGTATTGCTGGAGAAGAAGACCCAATCCACATCATTAATACAAACTTCCCCTGCTGGGACCGTCAATATTATTTTTGTGTTTTATCATTGTCCTCCCCTGCCCGCTGCCCTTCCTTACCATCTCCACATGCTGTCATCCCTACCTTCCCAAATCATCTTCTTTTACCTTATATTGGCACACTTCACATCCACCTTTCTACTCAGCAGCATAACTTAACTTTTATTTGCTCAGAAATATAATTTTTTCACTTTAAAATGATATCTTTAAGTTAGGGTTGGTCTGGATGTGGCATCTAAAGATAATAAGAGACTTATTAGTTACTTTTACCTCATGTGGATGCATTCTAAGACTTATGTTACCATAATAATAAACATTTTAAATTGCTGTGACTAATACTACTTTTTTTTTGTTTGTTGATTGCAAGTTATTGATTTTTTTATGGGCAAATTTAAAGTTATTTATGATTTAACTGATCCGCAAGCTCTTAGTGCATAAAGTTATTACTGAATAAAATAAACACATTAAATCAGAGTGTCTGGAAAAATTTCATTTCATATCAAACCTTAACTTATAAACTTTTAAAATTCTTTAATTTCAGAGATGATAGTTAGTGATGAGAGTGAAACAAAGTTGTCCTATGCTATCCCTCCTTTCATCAGTAGAAAGACAGGATCTGTATGTATGACAGCGGGGGTAGTAAGGTCTCCATTGTCTCTGGTGGAGAATTCAAGAGCCCTTTCCCAAAGAAATGTGATTATGCCCTCAGGAGGAAAGCAAACACCCAAATACTCACGAGTTGTTGATAAAGAAAATTTATATCACTGATTACAAGTGGAGAAATGCTCATTGAGTTTATGTATTTGTTCTTTGGTTGAGGAATGAAAGATGTTGCGGACAAATACCAAATTATTGTACAGTCACTATGTTAGACACTAATACTGGTCCAAAATTGTCTAGTTTCAATGCTTAAGTCACATAAAACTGTTAAAACTTGGATGTCAGTAAAATTAGGTTAAGTTGCTCTTTGAATATTTGTTAGACGGATTATTTCAATTGTTAGACTTTTTAAAAAGGTGAAAACTGTGAGTTTGATAATTTGAATTTATTTTTTAGGGTTTGTTTTACATCTATTGAATTTTTAGAAATACAGGCTAGGGGCTGTTAATTTAAACGTTTTGAAAATCGTAAGACTTTGTTCCAAAATCATAAACGTTGAGTGCATAATTAAGTATAAATAAAGATCAGATATGAAAGGTGAGAATGATAAAATATTAAGAGCACTGGACTGCAGTAAGAGAGTAGACGTTTTATTTGTGTGAATGTGTGAGATGCATTTTTTTTATTTTGTAACATTTTTTCCTGGGTATTTAATTCAAGTAAGTTATTACGGTATATTAAAATTTCCTTATAGTTTTAAAAACAGTTCACCTTACTAGAATGTCAAAATATTAAAGGATATATATATATAACTATGCAATAAAAGTATACTTCTACTGTAAGAAGTAAGTTGTTTTTTTAAAACTGTTGTAAGATTTTTACAAATATATAATTTACTTAATGTAATATTCTGGTAGGAAGATTGCGAGTAATAAGTGTAGCAATTGTTATATGGACAATTAACATGCTATTTCAGACATGATAACACTGATTTAACTCAACTCAAAGCATTCAAGTTCAATTACTTTATTTTCAGCTATCATTTTCATCAAACTTCCTTTTTTTGTCTGTATTATTAATATGTGGTGTATGTTGATTGGCTTCATGGTACAACTTAAGAAGTTCTAGGGCTTCTTTCGTCTGAGCTCTGTCATCTAGGTGGCGCTGGCAGCCATCCTGTATTGATGACACAATGGATTTAGATGAGTCAAGAAGTTGGGCCAGTTGTTCTGTGTCAGCATCCACCAGGCGCTAAAATAAAGATGTAAACTCTGTACAATGAGAATTATTTAATTTGTCAAAAGTCTACTCTTCAAAGTTTGTTAGCATATTCAAGTACAGGTAACCTTTGACTTGTTCCTCTGGGGTTTAGCATATTAAAATACAGGTGACAATAACTAGTTCCTTCGGGGAACAGGCAGATATCAATAGCATCCTTTTATAAAATATATAACACTGCCACTCTCTGTCATAAATTTTTTTAAAGGTTTTGTGTTGTTGGCGTTAGATGGTCAGCACATATTTCCATTCTGTCTTTACGTTAGATGGTCATCACATATCCAGTCTGTCTTTGTTGGCGTTAGATGGTCAGAACATATTTCTATTCTATCTTCAAGAGCTCTCTGGTAATGCAGCACAGCTTCACTGTTGCTACTTCCATGGCAACACTGACTCAAATAACTCTGTTGTAGCATTAATGATAATGAGCCCATAAATTGGATAAATTTAATGCATATGGTCTAAAACGTCATTAACTAAATTTTGAATACCTGTACAAAATTTTTTCTCTCTACATTGTGCAATATTTTTTTTTTAAAATTTGAAAGGTTTTTGTTTTGATTAGATGAAAACAGTCAGTGGTTGATGGCTAGAATAATATGCTAGAATAATATGTTTATTTATTACATAACACTATACATCTTCAAAAGTGTAGCAGCGAAAGCTGAAAAGAACAGTGTCATTAGTACTTGTGTATTTACCACAGTACCGATATCTAAATGTCTGAATAAAACATCCAACACGTTAAAACCAAACTGAACATATTGATATTAACCATGTGCATGCACTCTAGGCTTCATAACCGACCAGTAACAATTACTGAGAACAACTGAAGATCCCTCCAGCATATTTTCAAACCATTGCCATTTTTTATAAAAAATTTTATTTTAATAAACCAAATGACATGCGTATAAATGTAAAGACTTACTTGAAGATCCTCATCTGTAAAATGTATGATATTCTGGAGATCTTTCCTTAGTATCTTTGCTAAATGAAGAATTGGGTCGTTGATACTGTCAGATGTTATGGCAGTATCAACTTCATCACGTCCATTGGAAACTGAAAGATCAATTGATTTATGTCATCAAAATGTGGCAGTGTGCCACCATTTGAATTCCGGGTATCTATAGAAATTAATGGCAACATTTAAATACCGGGTATCTATAGAAATTAATGGCAACATTTAAATACCGGGTATCTATAGAAATTAAAGGCAACATTTAAACACCGGGTGTTTATACTAATTTCTAGACAATTAAATATCACTATCCCCTTTTTTAGGCTAGAGTGCAAAACACAGTAGTGGAATGTGGGTCTTGACACTACCAGGTTTGTCAGATTCAATGTTTGTCAAATTTTGATGGTAAAAAAAACATGTTTCCATCTTCATTACTCCCACAACCACCAGGCACTGCTATCAAAGAACAATCAGCTTGCAAACTCATTTAGCCCTTGCGTGATCATCGATTGTGCATCCCCAAGGAAGGGTCAATCACAGGCTTCACACCAACTGCTAAAATAAACTATATAGTCCAATAAGACCAAAACTGAAAAGAAAGTGAAACCCAAATGTTGTCAAAGTCAAGACATTGACTTATTCATCCGAAAAGTATTTAAAAAACCGGCAAGAGTGTGTCAGTTTTTTTGATGTGATCGTTGAATAAAGAAACCCATCATTAGAATTAGTATACCTTAAGTATACTTGATGGTGTCTCTGCTTATGATAATAATAACTTCCCTCTTCTTCTGCTTCCACCATCCCCACAACTTGTTACAATAGAGGTAAAGTTTGACAGTATTTTCTTTAATTATGCCCAAATATGAAACTGATTTATATAATATCTGTAATCAAAGACTAACAATAAATTTTAAAAAATTATTTATTTTTAAGTCAAAACACTATATATGTCACTAAGGCATTTTTTTCCAATTGTTTTTTAAAAGACAATTGTAATAGTAAATGCTGAAAAGGTCTCGGAGTAAAGACTTGAATGTTAAGACTTACTGAAGGACTGAATGCCCAGAAAACTGGACTTTGTTTAAGCTAGTATTCAAAATTCAATACTAAATGACCTCATCAAACCCTACCATCCCTTCCCCCAAACCAACCATCTCCCTGAACTCCCAAGACAACTTTTGCCTCCTTGTCCAAACTTAAATTGTCCGACTTATGGGTTATTTATCAGCTAAAAAAATTATTAATGGATCAATTTAAAAAAAAAAAATTACCTTTGGACATTAAACAAAGTCTCATTCAAAAAAGATCATGAATAAAGATATAATATGCAGGGCTAAATTCTTCTTTAATTTTAAAATTTGATGTTAACTGTTTTTAATTTTGTCTGGACTCATACATTTTATATCTCAGTACCCAATGTATAAAGGTCTACCGATAATGAAAACCATTCAAATTGGTATAATAAAAAGACCAAAAAAATGTGCTTTTATTTTTATAGAGAGCTTTCTAACTGTGACCATCCTTACCAGAAAGAATTAGAATTGTATTGTCTGGCAGAAAAGAAAAATACTCTTCATCATCAACTTCTGTCCCATCTTCCAAGACTACACGTACAGGTGGAGAGATTTTCAATTTTTCACATCCTGATGACGCATTTTAATTCCACATTAGTGACATAAAATAAAAGATGTAAAAAGCTTACTTAATAACATGAAACAAATTAATAAAAAGAAAGAATTAAACCATTAATTTTGAAGACTAGGACACAGACAAGTTTAGTGTCATGTGTTATTAAAGTGAGGTGTCGAAACAGATCTTGACAGATGGCTGCTTTAAAAATGTATCCTGACAAACCTAAACATATTTTTAGTGGTTAACTGGAAAAACTAAAATAAAATTTGCACAAGAAACTTGATAGAGTGAGATTAAAACCTTAGAAACTTTTTTATGTTCATTTACAATAAAACCTATAAAACCATAGTGGAACTAGTCTTTAAACATTTTAAGATCATTATGAAGAAAAACATACTAAGGGCTATCTAATTGTGTATATGGAAATTTGTATGAAAGACGTTTGGGCGAAAATTATTTTTAGGGAAGGTGGATATTAAAAGGGGAGAAAATTTTAACTTTTTAATAAAATTTAGGCCCTATATTTGTTTGTTCTTTTCTCTCATTATATCTTTTTGAAGTAAACTTCCGTTCAAACAAATTTCCAGTAACCATCTAAATGCTTTGGAAAAAAACATATAAAAGGAAATAAATGTTAATAGGATCATTGACCTGAATAGATGAGGTCTTGTAAAGATGAAACTACAACAGATTTTTTTATGCTGTGATCAGAGCTCCAGACTTTGAATGGTCGCTTGTTATCAGCTTTGATGGAAATTTCTTCACTGGTAACTGGAACTGGAAAAAAAAGGCCACTGTCAATCTCTCTAATCCGAAAATACAAAGAGGAGATTTATATATCATTTTATTTTGACCCCTGGCTTTGCAAAAATAACTATGAAATAAAAAAAAAAGAAGTGGTCAGAAAAGATTTTATGGTCCGACCATAAGATTATGAGTGGGGTTTTTTTTTTTACCTCATCATTATTGTGTATTGAGATACCAAGGGAACAGAGCAAACATACATGTGTTGCTTTTATTTATAATTTATAACTCCATGTTTGTCATTTATCATGGTGGTAAGAATACAATTGTTATTTTGTAATTCAGGTTAAACAATGTAAAATATTTAACTGTTCAATTGGTTCTAAGGAATGAAGAATCTAAACTTTCTAAAACTAATTTGGTCTGATTAAAAGTCTGTTAACCTGTTCATTATACTATCAGTGACAGAGAGTTACATTTTACTTAAAGTTTTAACCAGTTCTAGTCTATGTAGTTAAGTAGGCCTACTTTCTCAAGTAACTGTACTAGGCTAGCAGCAGCAACAGTAGTAATTGACCAGATGAAGTAGTACTAGTAACTTGTGGTGGTTGTAGTAATATTACTATTAGTATTAGTAAGCAGTAGGTAGTGCTAGGATTATGTTTCACTCTAGTCACCAAAATGTGAGTCCATAATTAAATTATAATAAAGATATTAATGTTAATCCTAAAAGTAGCGATGACTGGTTGCACTACTACCACTAGTAACCAATATTAACAGGCTAATATATTATTATAAAGTGCTTTTTCTATACAAAAGTTTAATGAAAGGTAATCAATCAAGTCATCAAGTGTCTAGAGACACTAAGTTACTACTAAGAGTAAAGACTAAGATAGTAAGAATACTAAGACTTCTACTACTACAAATGCTAGTAGGTCTACTACTAAGAGTAAGTCAATGTGTTAGAACTAGTGTAGGAAAGGGAGTGGGGGTAGATGGGGTGGTTGGGGCGACCTTTTTTAAAAAATTAAAAAGTATTATAATTTTCGGAGTGGGGGGGGGGGACGGCCCCGGTTTTAACCTTTAAAATTATCATATAATTTTGGTTAGTCAACTCCTAGATAATAGACTAGATAGTTTTAGACTTTTGAGTTTAAATCCTCACGACCAAAGCGCGTCAATCAAAACTGAAACACACTAAATTGTGAAATTAGTGAATTTAGTGTCAATAAGTCAATAAGCCATAGGCCTAGGCCAAAGGCAAAGATGGGACTATTTCATTTAAGTAATAACATTGGTAAACATGGTTATAAGATCACATTAAACTATTAGTTATTAAAATCAGTACGTATATCTCTTTTCACAACTGCGGACTCATATTTAGCCATCTGTGAGTTTTTTCTTTCATTACTATAAGAGTTTTAATAATTGCGGAAATACGCCTAGCATTTATTGCTATTTTAGTCAGGCCAGTACTACGTACACCGCGGCGGTGTACCTAGCAAAACCATTGGCTTTGGCCTGCGGTTATAGTTATACGCAGCAAACCATGGTCTTTGGGTCTTTGCCAGTCTTTATTTTTATTTCTTTAGCCTGACCGGTGCTTAACTGTTATACCCCTATTAATTAAGTTTTTTTTGTTGTTTTTTTTAAAATTCACTTAATATCTGCAAGAGTAAACAAAAGTAGTACGTGTATTTTTATTTTGCGCACGACTTGAGTCCTTTAGGAACGCATTGGAATGACGTTCGTAGAACTGTAAATGTGATGTTTTTTCTACGAAAAATTTATTTTTCAATAATTATTTCCGGGGTTGTAGGGGAGAAAATGGATAATCTCCTTTATATTTGTGGAATGATATTTGTAATTAGCATTTCTTAGTATTATTCTGGTCGTATCGGACCGCTTCATAAGTAAAACGCATTTTATATTCTAAAAGGCAATTTGTAGATTATAGGAGGTCATATACTATTATCTGGGGCAGTGGCAGTGGATAAGGGGGTTGGAGAAGCGGTCCGGTCATCACTTTTTCTTTAAATGGAGAGGCGTCATTTTTAGCTAACAGGAGAGTTTTTCGTGACAATTTGTGACCAAAATATTGGGCGTTTGCACTTACCTGAGCCAAAGCTCTGTGACATAGGACCAAAAAAAAAATATCTGAAAAAGAAAGGTGGGGGGGGGGAGGAATAATTTTAAATCATGATTATTTATAAGTTAACCACTATAATTATTATTTTTTAAAAATATATTACAACACAAATATATTTTCACTTATTGCACATTACATCCTATAATTGTCAAACTTAAAGCTAAAACTTGTACCACTAATTTATGTTGTTGTTGGTTGTTTGTTTTTTTTTTGGGGGGGGGGCTAGGGCTTTATAAAATATTGTGTGATCAGGTGGAGCGAGGGGGTGGTGCTTAAGGAGCACTGTCGTTATTGTGTTAAAATGTGTGTAGTGGTTTCCTCTTTTTTTCTTAAATGTATCTGCTTAAGGTCATCACGCTGGCCGAACCTGCGAAAAGCACATCACTGCAAATACAATTTGCTTTGTTCCCAAGATTTTGTACTAATCATTAAAACTTTTTGGGAGCCGGAGGTATGGCTTATCTTAACTATGGATTAAGTTTTATAAGTTTCATCTGAATTTTAAAAAAAATACAGGGTGGGCCAATAAAAGTGAGAACATCTCGTAAAATATTATGCTACGAGATGTTCTCACTTTTATTGGCCCACCCTGTATATTTCATGATTAAATTATTATGGTCATTTGTAACAAATGTAACGAATTTTATTTTTAGTCAATTAAATGTAATTTATGTTCCGATTATTAAGTGTTTAAAATTGAAAAAGATGCGTTGACCTGAAATAATATTCCGGTAAACTGCGTTAACCACAAGATTACCCAAGATCATATCTTCAGCCATATCTCAAGACGAGGCCGTGTACGCAAGCCTAGGTCCATGGTTTTTCTAGGTACACCGCCGCTGTATACGCAGCCACTTTGTTTAAGTTAAGATAATTTCCAGTCATTGCCAGATTTTTGGGTTTCCAGCGCTTTTATTATTTTCATTTATAAAAAAGAACGCCTGAATTTGTTTTCAAATAAACCAAACACATCATGCAGACTTTATTGAGACATAAAAGTAGCGTTTTAAGAAATATATAACGAGCAAGATATTAACATTTTTTCCCATGTATTTCTTCGTCTATTGTAGACAATCAGTGGTTTCTAACATTGGGATTTTAGACAAAACAATGTTTTCCAACTCAATTTTCCACTTTCACACGGAGCAGTTCGAAAAAGAACAATTGAAGAAATACATTTAAACAAAAAAATAAAAAAATAATTGTATTTACAAAATGTCGTAAGCCTATGTTCACCTAATGCCAGACTGTGACATGTGGAGATTCCTAGGCATTCGAAAATTTTGCTTCCCCAGCGGCGTACCTAATTTAAAAGGGTGTGAAGGTATGTTAACCCCGTTGCAACTTTGTGGTTTACTTATACCCCTTGCATTATAAATCGATGTGTGTGTTAATACAGTGTTAAGGGGTCGCATCTTTTGGAACTCATTCTAGTCTGAGAAATGTAAAAGTCTTGTTGTTTCAAACTTTGGCTCGTGTATTCACAGACCCATTTACATGACATTGTAATTTTTATTATATCTTCTTCTGTCATCAAAAGACGACATTCTCTCAAATTCTCTCTTTGCTGATTACCTATTCAGGAAAACGGGTGGCGATACCCGATATGCTCATCACTATGCATTACGTCATTAAAAGTACGTTCAAGGTCAAATCAAATCACCACCGCCAACAAATATTGGATTCTTGTCGCGAGGGCCCTAAATGGCACAGGTCCCTTAGTCACGTTCCTCATTCGACTTTAGGTTAATCTTGAACGGTGTTAAATAACATGTCCCACATATATAATACTTTTTATAACTAGTGGGGTAGCCAGACTTTAATAGTACGTTCATGATACGGAAATCAGAATTTTAAAAGAGCATATGTAGGAAATATAATAAACATTTGTTCATCTTCGGGGAAACACACCACCTGCTGCTATAAGGCACCATCTTCAAAGGAAGCGGCTGCTGCGACAACAATGAATATTTCTTGGGTGGTTTACTGTGCTCTAATCTTTTTGATATTTTTATTTGTCCTGTGTGCTGAAGAAGGCTCTATGCCGAAACGTCATTTTTTTTTTGTCCCGTTCTCTAATTCAAGCTTTTACATACCTCGTTTTGCTATTTCATTTGCTACAAGGCACTATCTTCAAAGGAAGCGGCTGCTGCTACAAGGCACCGTCTTCAAAGGAAGCGGCTCGTGCTACGCACATCCACCGCCCATGCCATGAGGTACATGCAGTTATATTCTATTTAGCGACTTTATCAAGAGGGGTTGCTAAGACTCTCTCAGCCCTTTCCTCTCTTACGCTATCTCTCTCTCTCTCTCTCTCTCTCTCTCCCCCCTCCTCTCTCTCGCTCTCTCTCTCTCTCTCTCTCTCTCTCTCTCTCTCTCTCTCTCTCTCTCTCTCTCTCTCTCTCGCTTTCACACACGCACAGATATACACTCGGGGCGGTGCGAAGGAAATGCTTCACCGGGGGCAAAGCCTAAAAATGACGCCCCCCCCCCCTTTAAAAAAAACAACAACCACGTTTCAAGTATAAATTATATGCATATTTATTTATAGACATATTTTTACTTGCAGGAACAGAAATGTAATAGTGGAGCTTGTTCTTCCTAAATAATAACCAATCTGTACATCTTTAATTGTGTACATACCATTGCCCGCGGATAATGGGCGCTTAAAAGTTCGAAATCAATCTGAGTAAGAAAATTCCGATGCATCTGCAAATTCAATCGATTAACACATAGCCTATAACGGGCACATTAATCAAGAAAATTGTCCGGAGTGGTGACAAACAAGGATGACGTTGTGAAATTTTTTTGCCTTTTGGTGGGATTAGGATGTGAGGGGAGGGAGCTCAAAAATAAAATTGCTAGCTGGAAATTCGTTGAGTGAAACTTTAACCAAAACCTTCACATAAAACAAAAAAATGGATGAATTGTCTGAGACTAAGATAAATCAAAGTCACAACCAATGGAAATTGTGGCAAGGAAATCAAAGATATAATCGACTAATGTAGTGGTTCTCAACCATCCTAATGCCGCGACCATTTAATAGACCTCCTCATGTTGTGGCGACCCCCAACCATAAAATTATTTTCGTTGCTACTTCATAAATGCGTATTTTCCGATGGTATTAGGCGATCCCTATGTAAGGGTCGCGACCCACAGGTTGAGAGCCGCTGGACTAAAGGAATAATCCACAATAATTCTTTCTTCTTTGCAATCTCCAGTGGGAGCATATATATTTAGTTTTTGCGCCTTCCAGTTTCTTGCAATCTTATCTTGATTTCCCCAACTCTTTCCGTTCTTAATGACATCCTTGACCTGTCTTTGCCGGTAATCGGAAATTTGATCGAAAGAAATTTTGTCGACGGTAAATTGATCGACGGAAATTTGATGGAACGGAAATTTGTTCGAATCTTTTTTTTCAGTTCACACGTTAAAATTTTCGTCAAATTTCTTTTTATACGCGCTATACTATATAGTAAAACAAAATCATGCGTTCCGGATACGGGCTTTGCCAAGCGCTCCGGGGTTTTCTCGGTGCTCTTGATCCTTCAATGTTCTACCCCATTGCTTGGCTAGTTATATTTGTTTTTATGCAGAGCCCGAGAAAGCTATATTGTGATACGGGAACACTTGCGTTTTTAAATTTCAAATAATTAGTTTTTCCTGGCTTTTTTTATTGACTGCCGAAGAAGGCGTTTAGCCGAAACTTCCTTTTAAAGATTCTGTCTCTTTTTGTTTTTTTAAGCCTAAACACATCTTGGTCGTCCACTATTTATTTAGTCATATTTGGCAGTTGTTTTCTTATCGGATGAGCTACACATCTCTACCTTCTTTTTTTCCGAAAACCATGCTCTACATCACTTCTATATTTGGAATTTCGTAGAACAGATTGATGTTAAGAATTTTATGCAAGGAAATATTCACATAATTTTGAAGCCTTTCCCAATCCTTCTTTGAAGTCCACTAACTTTCTCAACCATGGCAGCGGAACAGACTAAACACTCCTAACTGTATTATCTCGAAAGGCTCAGTTAGTTTCAACTTATGAAGAACATTGCACCTCATTTTGTTATATGAAAAGCTTTTTTTTCTTCAAAATGTATACACCTTATTGAGGAGACCATAATTCCACTTATTGCACTTTTCAAATATAAATCGAAGAGAGTGTATTCGGTCCAGATATTATTATTATTTTCTTTCTGACGTCTGCTTGTTTATCTCGTAATTCCACTGCATTAAAAAAAACACACGAAAAAAATTGCTAACAGTATTATTCTTTTAAAAACTATTCCAAGCACTGACGGTAGCATAATGCTTCTGTAGTTCAT